AATGAGTTTAAGCAATTTTTTTTTGTGTGTAATTTTCACTGTACCTCATTCTGGCATTTCCAAAGTTTAACTCTTATCAGCCTGACACCTTAGGGACTATTTCCAGACCCTATCACGCTAACTGTGGATCGATCTATCTCCATGGGAATTCTCGCTAAATTGCAATCAATGTAAGTGGCTTAGTTGTCTGTCACGCCTACTGAAACTGGCATGCCAGAATCCTAAGACTCTCAAACTGAAAGCAATTTAGTGAGAAACCCCTTGGAGTTGGATTGATCCTGTTAGATTGATCTAGGTATGGGAACTTAGTCTAATGCTTGATACACATTTTACTTTCATCCTAATCCAATGTTATGCAGAATAAGAATTTGATGTTGGCTATGCAGTTACAGTAAGCATAATACATTAGTTCATCAGAATTGACAATATCCTATTTCCTGCGTTTTTATTTTCTGGTTTTTGTCTGTACATTTGACAGCTTTGCTGCCTTGTTTAAAACGCGCGACACATACGTCTCAGTGCTGTTAACATATGACATCTACAGATAATTCATATTTTGCAAAAAAAAAAAAAAGAAAGAAAATGAAACCGTTGTAGCTAATATATTATTTCTTTGATATTTCTGCAATCACCCCCCCCCCCTTCGTCACCTAGGTTACTAGTACCTCATATAAAACCGTTGAAGAAAGTCCGCTGTAAACTAATTTCAAGCCCTAACTTAATTTCTGTTCTTTGCTGCAACAAGCAAAATTCACAATTTCCACCTCCATTTCCTTAAAAGTATAAACTTTCAAAATTAAAAAGGCAAACAAGTAGTGGAGACGTATATAGGGTATTGCCTTCTTAAGAATTCTAAATATCTTGAGGATATTTGCATTCAGAGAAACGCCCCAGAGTGGACTGTGTTCCCCAATACCATTTTACCAGTTCTTGGGCTGTGTACGTTTTATTCCCAATCGATGGATTGTTTAGCATTTCACAAATCTTGCAGTAATCTACCCTCGATGTTGGACGTTCAATCTCAAAATGCCTTTTCCATTGCAAGAACTTCATGTATATGTTAGCATGTTTATCCAGATAATATAGATACTCAGCCAAGGCTTTAGGGGTGGGAAAGTCACCCGTATTGATATGCATTTCTGGTAAAATACCGAGCAAGGAGTAATTAGCTCCTCCCCTTGTTATAGGAACAATGTTCCAGTCCCGTAGAGTTCTAAAAGGTTTCTCTGTCACGTAGTCCCTGGAAATACTGTTTTCAAAGGCCAGATAGAATTTGTAGTTATCCCCAATATAACGAAAACAGTCTGATGGACAAGGGTCTCCGCATTCCCCGAATATATCAACTGGAATGTGTTTTTTTAGTTCTTTTACATATTGGTCCCGCTTGCTGTTAGCTTTACAATTACTTACCAGCCATGCAACTAACTTGGTTTTCTTATTGACTCCAATTTTGACATTTCCAAATGAAATTGGCAATGAACGTTTCACTACTTTTCCGTAAGGCGAAAACATATCGGAATCTAACCGGTAAGTCATGGTCCAATTAAACATACTAGCAAATTTTTTAGCGTCTCTGCTCTTAGGCGAGGCCGCAACGCATGGCGATTCCCACGTAAAAAACAACCACCTCTGATTCAGAGTTCGTTGTCGAGTTGGAAGCACATCCCAAAAGGTTTTTGCGATGCCCGAGAACTGAAGCAGTTTAAAAAGTGGGGGTGCATTAAAAACGATGACGTCACTTACATTGGCAAGTCTCCAGTCCTTAGACAATATGCAGTTTTTAAAGCCACAATTTTTCATATTCATAAGTTCACCACGAAGAAAACTGTCGCTTCTGTAGCGATGGTCAAACCATACAAGGATTATTTTTGTTTCATTTCTTGTCTTGAAATCTTCTCCAGGTAAAGTACTATTCTCGCGTTTCCATTTTAAGTATTCCAGTATTGATCTAACATTTTCAGAACGTATAACTAACACTGAAGGCATGGCGGCCTTGCCTGCGCTTTTGAGTTTGAGAATTTTTTTAACTTTCCTGGGTTTCACAGTGAGCACATCCGTTTGATTGTTGGTATTGTTCTTGACAGCAGTCCTTAATTTGACGTCATAACGAATATGTATGTCGTCTTTTTGGCGCTGAAGCAGATTGAAGGCAAGTATAAATATCGTTATTGGAAGGCAAAAGAAGGCAATTGAACGTACTCTTTGTTGCATTTTCCTTCTGCTGCACACAAGACGATTACAGTGTATCTCCATATCTGCACAAATATAGATGAATAATGCATTACGTAAACTAAGGCATATAAACCACCAACATCCATTATTTAAACAAATTTGTCCTACAAGCATGGAATAGCAGTGTAGATAGAGATCTAAATACCAAAACACCGGCTTTTTATTTGATCAAGCAACAAACAAATATTAATGATTACACTGTTATCAAAGTGGAGCATTTGTGTAGAATTTTTGAAAGAGGAAATGTAGCATTTTCGAAAAGGTAAACCCTGAAGGAACAATTGTTCACATAATTGTACGATACGGGTTCTACCACCACACTCTGAATCATTGACAACTTTTAACTTTGAAATTATTTCAATGTCTTAAACGGAACTGGACTTAAGACATTCAAACTGATCTCCGTCTCTATCAACTATTCGGAAATGGGGAGGCCAAGGAGGAAGGAATAATACAAAATTGGTAGCTAAAGCATGGTCGTCTTGGGTACATTCAGATGTGTAAAGCGTGCAAACAAGTCAATTAACACAAAGGAGATTAGTTTTTTCCTTATCCGCGATCAGATAATGCGGAAATAAATATTTGCAATGTCATGAAATATTGATGTCGCATCAAATATACGTAGGGTTGAAGTTGTAAACGAGTTGATGGCGTAACAGCAGCGTTTTTGACTGAAAACTGTATGTCGATTTCGAACATCTCTCTTCCCTGGACAGCAAAGAACTCTGTTTTAACGACTATTTAGTCACAGCTAGAAGAACTACAATATGATGTCAGCATTTTTTCATGAAAGGTTTACTTCTGATTTAATTATGATTTTACTCAGATCTATAGGCCTACTTGCTATGACAAACATAATCCTAAATAAAACTGCCTAGGGATAAAAGTACACCCCATTCCCACAGATTTTGGATCGATCTATCCCCGCGGGGAGTCTCACTAGATTACTGTCAGCTTGGCCAGCTTAAATGTCTGTCCCGCCTACTAAAAGCTGTAAGGGGGTAATTCACTGTCGTGCGCGCTCGGCTGACAGCAATTTAGCGTGAACCCCCCGGGAGTTAGATTGATCCGGATGGATCGATCTAAATCTCTGGGAATGCAGTCTTAAGAACTGTATGGCTGATGTTCGCACCTGGCTCATCGACCTCAAACTAAAAATAAATGACAGGAAGACGCAACCACATAACGAGTAATTTGAACGGAGTCTACAAATTGCATTGCCAGTAGGCAGCAGTGTCGAGAACCCATTGCCACACATGACAAACATGGTTGTCTACTTTGACTTCACTCTCGGCAATGATAGACAAATATCATATATCAGTCAATCATGTATTTTAACGTCAGAAATATCGGTGCTATTAGAAACTATCAAATTATTCCTCTGAGGCAACAATTATACACGCGATAATTACCCCTCGTTTTCATGTAAGCCCTAAAATACTGTAACTGTTTACTTTATGGTTATACCGAAGAACGAATAAAAAACTGCAGCGAATTCAGAATATTTTAGCACATACAATTTTTTATCATTCAGCACCACCTTACCTACTAAAAT